TAAAACTGTGGAGTTGAGTCGCAGTGTAGATATACGAAATCGCAGGATGTCGCTACTCGTCAGAATGAGAATCGTTAATAATACTTCTGCGTTTCGAACACAGGAATTTCTTTAGGAGTGCAAATTTGAGATGCATCACTTTTTATTTTAAAGAACGTGGAAAAGTGGAACTGTGGAAGTACCCAAGCATGGGAGCATACATGTAGTTACCATTTACAAAAAAATTCAGTGGTTCTCAGGTTCTGTAGTTTAAAAGGGGCCAGAGTTACAATAGCACACAAAAATTAAAGAATATGGTACATGTATTATCCTGAAGTTTGGAAATTTTTGCATGATCGCCGACGAAAATACCTAATCACCGAAGGCAAATCCCATGCACAACACATCACTGCTGATGATACTCCTTTGTATGCCATACCTCAAAACAATTCTTGTCGGATTGAATGTGCAGAAAATTCTGACATTGTGGCGCTGAGCAATAAGTTGAAACCTTTAACTGTCCCCGCCCTGCCTTGTAACATAGCCTACAAACTCTTCTGACATTTGCTACCTTCGGAATATGGATAGTTTCATACTCGTGAACAGCTTTTACACTCACATAGGATGGAGGCACATCATAATCTGCTAAACCACAAATTTGCCTCACTAGCGCCTCTCTAAACTCAACTATGCTATAATACTTCTCCCCACGTTCCAGACCATTATTATCAGGATTATTTCTTCGCTGTTCCTGGAAAAGAATAAAACTGTTAATAACTGACATATCAATTAAATGGAACAACAAAGTTTTCCACCACTTATAACACTTCTGTAACACGTTATTAGACATAACAGTGTGATCATATCTATGAACTTTATTAATACACTGATTATATTTTTGAATAACTTTGGGCACATTCACATCAATTTTTTCTAACTTGTTATCTCTCTTAACTTTCCTGTGTAGAAGTGCCACCTCATTTGCACTATCAATAGTAGTGAGTATTGAGATAGGTTGATGGTCCAGCCACTGCAACGTCAAAATATTTGATAGACGCTCCCATCTCATGTCACCAAATTCCACAGTCCTCGCCCACTCTTTCACATCGCTCAAAGAGGTAGGGAATCCAACCTTGCCAACACTTACCACACCTGTTGATGGTGTACCATTTGAGAATAGATCACTTACCAATTTAAAGGAAGTAAAACATTTTTGAAGATACAAATGATATCCCTGATTGAGATATGGTGTTGCTAACTTCATAACTAGATCATATCCTAAACCATTCTCACTCACCTCACCATATGCAGATTTACCTATGTAAATGTTAAAATCAACTATGAAACCATTCGAAGTATCCCCTAATACCCAGAGTTTTATGCCAGATCTAGTTGTGGTATCAGCTCTTCTGTATCGCCTATAAATACCAGGCTTATCCCCGGAACCCACCATACGTTCTTCCACTGTCATATTTTGTGTTGGTTGATACAACGATTTGCATTGGTTCTTGAACAATTTCACAAAAGATTCAATATTACACACTGTATCTTCAGGATTCTCGCTAGCAGGGTCCGCAATGTGCAAAAATGTCATAAGAGCTTTAAACCTTTGACGGGAGAGAATCTTTCTTGCCCAAAGCCCATGATATAGACTTTTGGTGCTCCAATACTTTTCTACAACATCTAGTTTAACCAAACCAAAGTAAATAAGTAGTGCAATAAAACAACGTATTTCCTCAGCATTGGTTTCATCCCAAGCACCCTGACCGTTGGCATATGACAAATAACCTCCCTCAGCCAGTTTAATATATGCACATGCATTGGTGTGAGTGACAATAGAATCTATCATATCTTTGGTAAAAAAGAGATTAAAGAAGTCTAATTCTGTTGTCATACCATCCTCCAAGTGATTTTCAACATGAATACCAGTTGGGCGGCTTGGTGTAAATGGTGGGAGTTCATGAGGAATATCTACGTTATCATAACCTTTGGTAACCATGGTTACCCTGCCAACACCTACCCTGCCAACACCTACCCTACCCAATCTACTTTTTTTTCTACCAACCCCACCATTCCCCTGAGGTACCATCCTTCTCTTTCCCGCCCCTTTACCACTACTCCTACTACTACTTAACTCCCGCTGATTGCCATCATGATCGCCACCTTTATGATAAGTTTCAGCTTCTTCACTGGGACCAACAGTTATGTCTTCACTGTAAGGCGAGTCCAAATTTCTGGATAAAAAAAGAAACAATATTAAATATATCACATTCTATTACTAAATAACAGGGTTAAAGAGGGCTTGACGTTGTCTAGGGCTTTCAAAATAATTGCTGGCGGCTGCCAAATTTAATAGTCGCCACAAGGACTACCTTTGGGAAATATATGGTCGCCAGATGAACAATTTGGTCGCAACTGGCAATCTGAAGCCCACTCATTTCAACCCCTATAATATGTAGTATTTAATAGTATTTTAATTTTTCCCTGTGATATATATTTGTACTCTGGATCTGGGGGTTTCCTGTTTTGCTGACGTTGTAGCCTGCACTCATGCTCGCGTTCAGCGGCCATGAGTTGAAACTCGTCTGGCACCAGAAAACCTCTGAACCCAATGGTGTAAAATTATAATATGGTATACACCTTGCAGATTATTTAGGGTGGCTAATACTGTATGTACATTGTCACACTTTTGTTTCTGCAGATCTTTCTGCCTTTCATGGTAATAAAACCAATGCTTCCACATTAACACTAAGCTGGAAATACAGTTACCCTCGTTCAGACAAGGATGACAGTTGGCAGCCAAGCATTGTTACTGTGTATATTTTAGGTTAACAATGTAAAGGTTTGATGATGTACAGTACACCAACAGGGGCAAAGTCCAAACTCCAAGTGCATTGGGCTGTAATCGTCTAGCCAGCCAGGGGATGAGTGATGGTCCTCCTTATTTTTTTTCTATTTCATGCATTTTAGACACATTTTAAGAGAATCTGCAAGCCATAGATTTGGTATATTTTATGTCACAACTGACAACATTAAGAGGTTACACCTCCCAGTGTCTGCTCAGCTTTGAAATAATTACAAAATTGGTTCTGAAGAAAAGTGTGTGTGGGGGGGGGGGTTGTACCTCCATTTATACTGAATTCTATGCTTTGTTATAATTGAAGAAGTCTGTAAACTGCATATTGTACAGGTTATGCTGTTATTAATTGATATGCATATATCAGGGCACAGAATTGGCGGTATCCCGATATCCACAAAATGTCAATGCCAAATTGATGTTTTTATATAAACCCATGCACTTTTAAAATAATCATTTAGTCACTGTAGAAATTCATGAAAACATCACAGAGTGGTAGTTTTGATCCACATACTGTATATATCCACAAAAAACGTCAATTTGATTTGAGGTAGCAAACTTCAATCATACAAAGTTCCCCCAGTAGGCAAAATGACGTTGATTCAACGTTGAATCAACGTCAGACATTACCTCACAGTTGTTGAAAAAGGATTGAAAATGCAAATTGGATCGACATTACTCTCTTGATGTTGAAACAACATTGAGATTACACTGCCAATCTTGCCAACCATACATAGTTCAACGTTGAATTCATATGTCATTGAAACCACATTGGGATTACTTGACAAGTTGGAATCGTATAATCAACGATGAATTACAGTAGCTGCAGTTGAACCAACGTTTGTAAAACGACATCAAAGCAACATGTTGATATTAGGTTGTCGACGTCAAAACTTTCTTTCTACCAAATTTCAATGTTGAAACAACGTCATGTGCCCAGTAGGTTATTAGAATTAGGCTCAATTAGCTGAGGGCTGGTGATGAGAATAAGTGGTGTGAACCCATTAATTCCATGGGATTCCAAGGATAAGGAGATCTTTGCATGTTGAATGAAAATTACAAGCAACCAAAATTCTTTTCAAATTAATCCAGCCAGTACCTCATGTGAACAATTCCCAGGAAATTTTACACTTTACTGTTCCTAATTAGTAATCATGCACTGAATACATACTCCATAAAAACATGTTATTAAATAATGGGAAAACTCTCCATCAGAATACACACGATCATATATTTGTGTTATATGGGTTCGGTAAACTGTAAGTCTGTAAAGTACCGTAATCACATACACCCCCACCCCCCTCCAGGGTTAATGTATCGATCAATTCGAAACTTCAACATGCACCCCCCCCCCCCTCGGGCCGACCCCGGGAATTTGAACTGTTTGAAATTTGACTGATCAAATTCTCCACCCCCGTGCAAAAAAGGTCTTCAGATGCCCCACTATAACAAGAAATTAAGCGTTCAAATGCCCCACGTTCATATCAAAATTATGAAACAGTAAATACAAAAAGTACATAATACACGGAAATGTTTTTTGGCAAGAAGCGAAATTCACTTAAAAAGTTTGGAAACCTTATGGAAATTTAACAGTTTTAAACAATTTTGTAGTACATACCTTCAAATGAAGCACATAGCTTTTCCATGCCCGTTTCTTTGAGCCAGTTTTTCACAAAATTGAGGCTGTTTCCCTCGAAATGGGTCGTTCCAGAAAAGATCCATCCCCCCCCCCCCACGGAGGAAATTTTTGCTGTCCGAAGGGGGAGGGAGGAAAAATGTCTTAGGATGTCCGAAGGGGGGGGAGAGGGAAAATGTGTTAGGATGTCCGAAGGGGGGGAGAGGAATGTGGATATGTTTGTCTGAAGGTTTGAGACTGTGATAAAGCTATGTGATCGGCGATTATAATGAGCACGCAATTTTTATCGGCTATATGTAGCTCTTGAACACCGGAACGTTTATGTAACAGCAATAATTATACGTCCACGTAACTCGTAAGCAAAATAAGCGGCCCACTTTTGCATGTATGGCCACCAAAAACTAACTCGCTGTAACAGCGTATCCTGCATGTTGAGAATGAGTCGAAAATTGACAAGCGTTATTTATATAAAAGTAAAGTTTGCAGTTTTCGTTCGTATATATAAGTTTGAATTATTCAAGTGTTAAAAATAATAGTTATTAAACTGTTGCTCGAATTAAGAGACTGCTATGTAAACTGAACTCAAAACAATTTGTTTTAGTATATAGTCAATAAAGCTTCCTTGCGAGGTGCGTGTCCAGAAAATAGAAATGGCTTTCATATTAAGGGCGAGGTTAAGGAATGCAGTAACACTAAATAATGCATTAACACGTAAGTAAACATAGCAACGCTTGTCAATCAGTCGCAAGTTACATCGAATTTCAGTCCGAGTTTTACTTGAACAAATTTCGAAGTGAATTTCTGCAAATTATCCGACAAAACCTGCCACGTGTTTGTGTTCGCAAGTCACAAGAAGCCGCCAAGTGTTCCGCCAAGTGTTCCGCCACGCCGGAGCTATTTGACAACACCGTAGAAAAGTCACAATAAGCCATCGCTAATTCACTCTACGCTGGAGCGAAATCGTTTGAAAACTTCACGTCACTTTTGCCGTAACAATTTGAGCACGGTTTCTAAACGGAGCGAGGTGAAAACGGCGGAGCGCTTGATAGCTTCGTGTGAACACAAACGTGTAAACTCGAATGCTTTTCAGTTAAATTTCTTGGGTCTATTTGAAATATTTTGGGTTTACACGAGTGCTAATTCAATTTGTAAACAAACTGTAATGGCGGTAGTGTGAACACACGTAAAGTCTGCCCGCATTAGTTCGCTCGCGCGTAGTGTGAACGTAGTCTAATTTTCGGTGACGTTTTCAAACGGCGAGGTAGCCTTTAGAAAAATTTAGAAATAGTGGATGTCCGAAGGGGAGGGGGGTAATTTTGGGCTTTGATGTCCGGAGAGGGGGGAGCATGAACCATTCAAGGATGTCCGAAGGGGGGAGGGGGTTATTTTCGATTCCTCCGTAGGGGGGGGGTATGGATCTTTTCTGAAATGACCCAATCTGAGAAAACTGTATTTGCTGCCAATGTGAAATCTTTTCTGTGCATGCAGGTAGCATGTGAAAACGGGCAAAATTTTAAGACTTCCGGTTCAAATTCCCCCACCCTTATCAAATGCCCCACCACATGGAAGACTTAGAACGTCAAATTCCCTACTCCCTGGAAAGACTTGAAGTCAAATTCCCGGGATGTGCCCGGGGGGATGTTGAATTTTCAAATTGATCGGTACATTAGCAAACCGCCCTATCAATTTTCTAAAGTTGTTTCTACATTTTTTTATTAATTTGGTTAGGGTTAGGGTTAGAGTTGCGGTTAGGGTTAGAGTTGCAGTTAGGGTTAGAGTAGAGTTAGGGTTAGTTACATAGCCATTTAACACCTCTTCCATCTTCCACGTCAGTTTGGTAGATGGAAACAAGTGCTGACCCCAGGCATCAGGTATTCAGGTACCGGCATTAAAGGTGTGGCCAGGGACGCCAGAACGATGTGAAGGCAAGGGGGGGGGGCAGATTTTCATGAAAGGGCACTATTGAATTGATATTTTCTAAGAGATGTTTGCAAAACATCGGGAGTTGAACTTCGCCTAATCATGTTTTCTATTTATTGGATGATAGGGGTGTGAGAGGGTTCTCCGCCAGGCAATTGTGCTATTCTTGAAGCTTGATGACTACATTTCTTGCGTTTTCTGAAGCAAATTCGTAAAATAATTGCACTGACAATTTGCTACAATTCTCTAATTGCACTGACAAATTCTGACAATTCGCTATTTCGCCAAGGCAATCCTTTAAATTGAAAGGGCACCTTTGCCCCCCTTGCCCCTCCTGGTAAAGGGCAACCGGGGCGACTGCCCCTCCTGCCCCCCCCCCCAGTTCCGGTATCCCTAGGTGTTGCAGATTTTGGTGATAAATCTCCAATAGGCAATTCCAGCTTTTAGTTTATGCGTGCAGGGGGTGATGGGAAGTAAGGCATCATGTTGCTGATTATGCTGAAAAAATAAAAATAGTGCCCGTATAAACATAGAGTGACAGCTTATACTTGTAAATATTGAAATATTTCGGTTGTTTCGGCAGTTTTTATTGAATTTTTTCAGCGTCATCAGCAACATGATACCATACTTCCCATCACCCCCTGCACGCGTAAGTTTAAAAAAGCTGGAATTGCCTATTGATTTCCTAATTTTTTCAGAAACATTGACCATGCAAATTGTTGTTTTATACCTTGTTCGTTCATTTCAGTTGTCAACTACTCAACTTTATACATGACGTTTTAATTTTAATATAACTGCATTGATGATTGAGAATTGAGATCAAAATAGAATATAGTTTATATATATAGAACCCCTTCAAAACTTGCCTTGAATTATCGTCAAACAATCGTAATTCCAAATCAAGTTCTTCTGCTGATGACATTCCTTCACAATCACTATCAAACATATCATTGTATAAATCGTCTTCGCTGTCACTATACTCCACTATAAAGCTCGTTTCATGCGCCATGTTGCTTCGAATCGTCGACGGAAGGACAGAAGATTGCTTTTCCCGCGGGCGGGAAAATTAGGCGGCCCTGTTAGGGCGAGAGAAACCTGAAGTTCAGGCTTTAAAATTAGGGCCTGAACTTCTATGGAGCGGTATTCGGTTCAAAAATATCAGCCGTTTCAGCCGACTTGTTTACAGGTCGATGCGTATGGTGTCCCATGTCCGCCAAAAATCAACTTTTGCATTTCACTATATGATATTTTGAGGATCATATTCATTTCATTAAATAACAACATTGTTTTTGAAGATCACCGGTTTATCGGTTGAAAACACAACTTATTTTTTGAAGACCAACTTTTGAAGACCAACTTTTGATACCCAACCACGATCCAATGTCTTTGCTGTTCGTGGGCTCATATTGTCGTGATTTTCCGCTAAGGGAAGCCTCACATATCGATTTTTTCCACGAGAAACGTCATATGTTCGTTTGGGGGTGGGGGGGTTGGCAGCTGTGACGTTTCTCTGTAAACATCATGGAAAAATTCGATAGTTTTTATCTTTGCAGAATATAAAAAAGAAAATAATTTGATACAAACAGCAGTCTATACATTCGTAATACCATACCTGTTCTATACCTATGCATTTATATTATTACGGCTTCCTTGCATTGTAAACACTCAAATTTCAAGAAAGGCGCGCTAAAATTATCAATATTTCAATTTCATGCAAAAAAGTTGTTTTGAGAAACGTTGGAAATTTTGAAGTTCATATTTATAATAAAAAAAGAGTATGTCATATTCCTCGCGGAAGCATCGCCAATAGCCGACCGAAAAAATGTATATAGAAAATTACCTTATTCATGTGTACTATAAGAACAAAATATCGATAAAATGTGTGACGTTTCTAAGGGGGGGTGGGGGGGGGGGTCTCCAGAGAAACGAACATATGACGTTTCTCATGGACAAAATCGATATGTGAGGCTTCCCTAAAATCATCTCTGTCTGAGTAACTACACTTTTTATATATTCAATGTTTTATTTTCCTTATCCATTTTGTGCAGGCTGATGTAAATTCAAGAATATGAATTATTCATATACTGTACAATGTACATGTCAAGTGACTTTATGACTTGGTGTTGGCGGCTCGTATAATATTTTACTTTTGATCAGGTTAGATTGCAGAATACCCTTCCATTTTCTAACATTACACAGTAAGTTGTTGTATTGTTGCTCCAATTTTAGTTGCGATTTTCTCCTTTTGTAGGATGTGAAGGAGTAGATTACATAAACATTTATAACTTTAATATCCACTCCTTCACATCCTCCAAAAGGAGAACATATTTCGAGCAGTGGCAGCAGACATCAACTTTTAGGGGGGCAGGGGGAAGCTTGTGTAGGTTTTTAATGTCATGTGTACCATTTGGACACCTAAACAGTGTCGTAGCAAGCTCGATAATTGGGGGAGGGCTGATATTCATATATTCGTGTTCTGTGTTATTAATTTCTTTAGAAATCCATTGTTTTTATGGTCTGTGAACACAAATATATGAATATCAGCCCCCCCCCCCAAAATTAACG